AGTTGTGAAAATTCTATCCCGCGCGCTCTTGCGGATTCGTAGGAAACCCAACACTTTTTTTAACATTTCTGTCAAAAGGGCTTTTGCGAGCAACTTTTTCGAACTTCTGCAACAACGGTTGCGCACCTGCCAGGGCCATCATCCCTGTCAAATAATACCATGCGGGACACATTTGTTTTTTCTTCGCGCGCGCACGCCGTCGTCGTCGGCCGCGGGGCCCTGAATAGTAGCCACGGTCGTCCGCGTGCCACGAAGTGAGTGTCCGAACGTCATAGGGCGGGAAGCTGGGTGTGGGTGGTGGCGAAGAGTCGTTTGGAAATTTGGTAGAGCTTGAACCGGCCCCCCCACAAAGTGGGGGTATTGCCCGCCTCCTATGAAAACCCTGGCACTGGTGAGAACGGAGTGTCCCCACGTGCTAGTAATTGTTGTTGTTGTTGTTGTTGTTGTTGTTGTTGTTGTTGTTGTTGTTGTTGTTGTTGTTGTTGTTGTTGTTGTTGTTGTTGTTTCTCTCTCCCTTTCTCGCTGTCACTGCCTCTCTCTCTCTCTTTTTACCTAACAGCGAAGACTGATAGGTTTCTAGTGGTGTCAAAAGAGCATCATGACTCCTCAGAGGGGGTCTGGGCGGGACCCGGGGCGGCTGCCGCCGAAGCCGAAATCGCTTTGGACATCCTCGCAAAATCGCTCTTGGCGCTCCCAGAACTCCATTCCCGGGCCACATTTTGAATGCCCGGAGCCAGCTGTAGGCCACTTCGTGCTCTTCGAGTTCCCAGAACTCCATTCCCGGGCCACATTTTGAATGCCCGGAGCCAACTGTAGGCCACTTCGTGCTCTTCGAGTTCCCAGAACTCCATTCCCGGGCCACATTTTGGATGCCCGGAGCCAACTGTAGGCCACTTCGTGGTCTTCGAGTTCCCAGAACTCCATTCCTGGGCATGATTTTGAATGCCCGGAGCCAACTGTAGGCCACTTCGTGTTCTTCGAGTTCCCAGAACTCCATTCCCGGGCCACATTTTGAATGCTGAGGCAGGCTGATGCTGAGGCTGAGGCAGGCTGAGGCTGAGGCAGGCTGAGGCTGAGGCCGAGGCTGAAGGCAGACTGAGGCTGAGGCTGAAGCAGGCTGAGGCTGAGGCTGAGGCAGGCTGAGGCTGAGGCTGAGGCAGGCTGATGCTGAGGCAGGCTGAGGCTGAGGCTGAGGCTGATGCAGGCTGAGGCTGAGGCAGCTGAGGCTGACGCCGAGGCTGAAGGCAGACTGAGGCTGAGGCTGAAGCAGGCTGAGGCTGAGGCTGAGGCAGGCTGAGGCTGAGGCAGGCTGAGGCTGAGGCTGAGGCAGGCTGAGGCTGAGGCTGTGACTGTGACTGCCGTTGCCACTGCGACTGTCATCGCGAATGCGACTACGACTGCGAGAACAGCAGAATTCGACAACTGGATTTTCATCTGAATCGTAAGGGGAATGCTTCCAGATGTGCTCCTGCACATCGCTGTTAGGTTGCTTTACCGGGATAATTTACCTAACAGCGAAGACTGATAGGTTTCTAATGGGGTCAAAAGAGAGCATCTGATGACTCCCCAGGGGGGTCTGGGCGGGAGCCGGACAGGCGAGGGCCGGGATCGTTTTAAGCAAACAGTCACACACTTCGTGCTCTTCGACTTCCCAGAACTCCATTCCCGGGCCACATTACCTAACAGCGAAGACTGGTAGGTTTTTAATGGGGTCAAAAGAAAGCATCTGATGACTCCCGAGGGGGTCTGAGCGGGAGCCGGACAGGCGAGGGCCGGGATCGTTTTAAGCAAACAGTCGCACATTTCGTGCTCTTTGACCTCCCAGAACTCCGTTACTGGGCCACATTTTGAATGCCCGGAGCCAACTGTAGGCCACTTCGTGCTCTTCGACTTCCCAGAACTCCATTCCCGGGCCATATTTTGGATGCCCGGAGCCAACTGTAGGCCACTCCGTGCTCTTCGACTTCCCAGAACTCCATTCCTGGGCATGATTTTGAATGCCCGGAGCCAACTGTAGGCCACTTCGTGCTCTTGGATTTCCCAGAACACTTTTCCCGGGCCACATTTTGAATGATCGGAGCCAACTGTAGGCCACTTCGTGCTCTTCCATTTCCCAGAACTCTACTCCCGGGCGCTCTTCCATGTCCCAGACTCCCAAGACTCATCATCTTCATCATCATCATCGTCCCCGTAGCCTTCTTGGCTACAGCCCTGCTTTCGAAGATTTCTTTTCAAAGGAACTGCGCAGCGCCTACTGCACACCTTAATGCCAGGACATGCTGATAGTTCTCGGTCTGGCGGCGGTGCTCCTGACCCTGCTGCATTGAACAGCGGTGCTCCTCAGCCTGCGGCAGGGAACAGCGCTGCTCCTCAGCGTGCTGCATTGAGCGGTCCTCTGCAAACGCTCGTCGAGCACGTGAAGCAGTTCGGCCGGATACCGAAGCGAAATAAAGGAACGTCCGAACAAGAACGGGCCGAAGATATGTTGGCCAAACGTTTCTCGGACCATCGCGACCGCATCCCCAAAGACATTTTGCATGAACTGCGGGCCCTGGGCTGTGCTGATCAGCAGACGGAGACGGAGGAGCTCAAGCGGAAGCAGAAGACCGAGGAGCTCATGCAGCAATGGCGAGACAAGACCGAGGAGCTCATGCAGCAAGTGCGAGACCTCGGCCGCCACCCGAAGGAGCATGCTGGGCGTAGCCTCGCAGAGCGGCAGCTGGCAGAGAAAGTCCGGAACGCACGGAAGGCCGCCCAGTTCTTCCCGGAGCAGGACGCCGAGCTCCAGGCCTTCAAGCAAGCGGAGAGCGAAGCCACAACAAAGACTCGCATCGCGGAGGCGGAGGGCCTTCCAAACCCCATGGAAGGGTTCGCTGAGGAGGCGCAGAACAGGATCGACCAGGACCTGCTGTTGCTCGAGAGTGGCATCCGGACCAAGGCAAACCTGCGGCGCCTTGCCGCCTACAAGGAGCTTGTGTCCAGCCTCTCTGCGCAACGCACGGAATTCGCGCAGCGGTGCGCGGGGCGGGTGCGCAAGGCGTCGGCCGCCCCCGCGGGGAAGAGCTGCTACGTTCCCGGCGGCGAGATGGAGGGGGGCCAGCTGCGCGTCTTCTCCGACCGCCCCGTCATGACGGGGCCGCTCGTGTGCCAGCTCTGCGACTGCGACTTTCTTACAGAGGAAGACTTTGCGCGGCGCAAGCAGCAGGGCCACGCGGGCGAGGCGGAATGCCGCAAACGGGTGCTGTTCCTGATGGCGGAGGCTGGCTGCAGGCCGATAGCCGCTTAGGAAAAGAGGCTCATGGTGCAGAATTTTGCTCACTTCCAGCAGTTCTGTCACCCGGGCAGCAAGGGCAACCGTTTCTCGGGCAACGAGGCAGCGCACCGATGCGAGGCAACCTGCGTAGTCTGTGCGCAGAAAGATTACCTCGAGCACCGCCACAAACTGAGCCTGTTTGGCGCAGTGCCGGAGGACCGTGTATCCGAGCACTGCGCGGGCCCTGCAAGCGACCAGGACGACGTGTCCGAGGGCGAGGCGAATGCGCGACCCGCGCGGACCCTGGTGAAGCACCGCGGGGTGTTTCTACTGCTACTACCACTGCTCCCATCGCTCCTACTCGTTCACTCCACACACTACACCTACTACTTCACTGTTACCACGACTACCATCACTACTACTTCTATTGCTACTACTGCTGTTACTATTACTGCTGCTGCTGCTGCTGTTGCTGCTGCTAGTGTAGCTATTGCTACTGCAACTACTGGCAGTGCCACTGCGACTGCCGCTGATGTTGCCACTGCGACTGCCACTGCGAATCCGAATGCGACTGCGAGAACACCAGAATTCTACAACAGCACTCTTACATGAATACCACAGGCAATGTTTCCAGCTATGCTTCTACACATCGCTGTTAGGTTGCTTTGCCGGGATAATTTTTCTTTTTCTCAATTTCCTCGCTATATACACATATGTGGTGGTGGCGTGGGGGGGGTACTTTTCGACCTGCTGAGGCCCTCGCCAGCTCCCGGGGCCGTCACGAAGCCGGCTCAGGGTGGGTAGCCGGCCTGGGGAAAGGGCCGGACCTTCGGGGCCGGGGCCCGGGATCCAAGGAATCAGTGCATGGCGCTTCTGGGCTCGCAGTCGGCTGCGTTCGGTCGGTGCGCTTCGGTCGGCCTGCCGCACCGAGGCGTGCGGTCGCTCGGTCGGCTCGGCTCGGTCGGCTCGGCTCGGTCGGTTCGCCTCGGCCGCACGCCGCCCGCCGCAAGCCACCCCGACCCGAATGCCCGAGGGCCTCGGTCCGCCCTCCATGCTCGGTGGGGGGAGGAGGAGGAGGAGGAGAAATGGTGGTGGTGAGGAGGAGAAGGGGAGGAGGAGGAGGAGGAGGAGGAGGAGGAGGAGGGAGGAGAGGAGGAGGAGGAGGAGGAGGAGGAGGAGGAGGAGGAGGAGGAGGAGGAGGAGGAGGAGGAGGAGGAGGAGGAGGAGAGGAGGAGGAGGAGGAGGAGGAAGTAGGAGGAGGAGGAGAAGGAAAAGGAGGAGGAGGAGGAGGAGGAGGAGGAGGAGGAGGAGGAGGAGGAGAACATTTGAGAAAACACACATATGGAACCCGTACCCCTCCCAACCCGATGTTCGGGTCTTCGGGTTGGGTTGGGGTGGTCTGGCAGGTAGTAGCGTGTTTCTTTGTTGCTCGGGGAATGACGGGCGGCATGGCCCCCGACGCCCCCCCTATGACGTAACGCCCCCCCTCCCCCCCCTGTGCGCTCTGGCGCTCACCGTCGTCGCGCGCGCGGGCTCGGCCGTGGTGCTGGAGCGACCCCCCGGCGGGGGGGGGCGTCAAGTCATAACCCCTCCGCCCGCCCCCCCCCCCTCCGAAGAAGAAAAACTAGAGAAGCGCGGGAAAACGAAAACAGGGGGCGACCCGCCATCGCCGAGAAGCAAAAGCCAAAGAAGCGCGCTCCAGTCAGTCGTTCGGTCGCCTCGGTTCGGTCGCCCCTGGTTCGGCCAGCACTCGGAGGCCGCCGCAGGCCGGGCGCCCGCCCGCCTGCGGGCCCGGCGCGCCCCCCCGCGCCGCCCGGGCTCCCCCCCCCCTCCTTCCCGTCCCGCGCCGATGGCCGCCGCGGGCTGCTCCGATGTGGCCGAAGCTGCACGGGGCACCGCGCCCCGTGGGTGGGTTGTCGTCGCCGTTCTCCTCCTCCTCGTCGCCGCCGCCGTCGTCGTCGCCGCCGTCGTCGTCGACGTCGTCGTCGTCGTCGTCGTCGTCGTCGTCGTCGTCGTCGTCGTCGTCGTCGTCGTCGTCGCGCGCGCGCCCTCCGTGCTGTAGGTTCGGGGATCCCCGCCCGCCCTTCGTTTCTCTTTGCTTCTCACCGCACGTCCGTGATCTAACGAGTGGACTGTCGGTTACCTTTGAAGCTTCGAGAAGGTCTTGCGAGCTCATTATCCTGTGCGTGTTCATTGTGCCCTCCTGGAACGCTGCTGCGCCATCAGTGATCAGAGCCGTATCCTTCGAACTTCGAGCTGCGGACGGTTCTCCCTCGATATGGTTGCGCCCTGGATGGCCCTTCTCCAGGCCTGCGGGTTGGTGGCCCGCTCCTCGACGGTCTCCCCGAAGTTGTGAGATACGAGGTTCCCGCAGTCAAGAGCGGCTCTGCTGACCCAAGGCCTCCTGTCAGTGGCCTATGCCCACCCTCTCTTCGATGACGGGTTCGATGTACTGCATGCGGGAGTCGACCTCTGCTATGACAGCCCCGATGAAGCTGGAACCCTGCCAATGTGATTGTCGCCGACGTGCAATGATGCCCACCACGATCGCCACCATTGCAGCTCGTCCGCGAGTTGTCGTATAGTTGGGGCCTGCTCTAGTCAAGATTATCTTGGTAACGAGGTAGGTCTTTTTGATCACATATCTGTCTGGTCTTGCGGCCGAACCACAGCTTCCTGTTCAGTGACGTGGGGAGTGGCCCTCATACTTCGGTTGTCTCCAGCTTCGCACGCATCACGTGCGAACCATGCCAGCACCGTGCCGCCATTTGCCCGAGCGCCCAGCCACGCGATCGATCCAGCTTGAGCCAAAGTGGCTTCGTCGTCGTCGTCATTCTCGTTGTCGTCGTCGTTGTCGGCGTCGTCCTCGTCGTCATCGTTAACGTCGTCGTCAGCCTTGTCGTCGTTATCGTCGTCGTCGTCGAATTTGCAAGTCTAGAGAATATTGTTAGCCCGCGGACCCCAAGCAGTGATTTCTTGCAATCTATGTTGTGGAATCACTGTGGTGCAATCCAGATGCAGCAATCCATGTGGTGCAGTCTATGTGGTGCATAGCCATTCTGCTGAACTTGAAGGCGTCATCTCCACTGCTCGCGCAAACATCGCACCCTCCCACCCGCAACTTGTTTGGCAAAGTTCATGATGCGGGGGACGGCGGCGCCACCGATGACGACTTTGATGATAGCATCCTCACTGCCGATGCTCGTTGCCGCGAGTCGATGCTGAAGGTGAGCATATCGACGATATTCGGACGTGCGCGATGACAAAATGACGTCGGCAACGTTTGCGACAATGACGAAGGTGGCACCAGCGACGACGATGTTGAAGATGGCGACAGCACGAACAGTAACGGTGCCAATGATGGCGAACACGTTGTCGATGCTGATGTCCATCTGTCGATGAGGCATGTCATCGCGGTGATGCTGACAAGGTTGAAAATGAAATCCGCGTGCGCGGAAGTTCAACCTGATCATGCGCGCGCGGCGGTGCGCGCATGTGGCTCGCGTGGGGTTACCTAACAGCGAAGACTGATAAGTTTCTAGTAGGGTCAAAAGAGAGCACCATGACGCCCCATGGGGGTCTGGGCGCGATCCGGGGGAGGATGCCGGGGGGATGCCGGGGAATTCGTTTTAAGCAATCAGTAACGCACTTCGTGGTCTTCGAGTTCCCAGAACTCCATTCCTGGGCATGATTTTGAATGCCCGGAGCCAACTGTAAGCCACTTCGTGTTCTTCGTGCTCCCAGAACACCATTCCCGGGCCACATTTTGAACGCCCGGAGCCAGCTGTAGGCCACTTCGTGTTCTTCGCGTTCCCAGAACACCATTCCTGGGCAACATTTTGAATGCCCGGAGCCAGCTGTAGGCCACTTCGTGTTCTTCGTGTTCCCCGAACACCATTCCCGGGCTATATTTTGAATGCCCGGAGCCAGCTGTAGGCCACTTCGTGTTCTTCGTGTTCCCAGAACACCACTCCCAGGCAACATTTGAATGCCCGGAGCCAACTATGAGCTTAAGGCTGAGGCAGGCTGAGGCTGAGGCAGGCTGAGACTGAGCCTGACTGAGGCAGGCTGAGGCTGAGGCTGAGGCTGATGCAGGCTGAGGCTGAGAGGCTGGCGCTGAGGCTGAGGCAGGCTGAGGCTGAGGCTGAGGCTGAGGCTGAGGCTGAGGCGAGCCGAGGCAGGCTGAGGCTGAGGCTGAAACTGAGGCAGGCTGAGGCTGAGGCTGTGGCTGAGGCTGAGGCAAGCTGCGGCTGAGGCAGGTTTAGGCTGAGGCTGATGCGGGCTGAGGCTGAGGCAGGCTGAGACTGAGGCTGAGGCAGGCTGAGGCTGAGGCTGAGGCCGAGGCAGGCTGAGGCTGAGGCCGAGGCAAGCCCAGGCAGGCTGAGGCTGAGGCTGAAGCTGAGGCAGGCTGAGGCTGAGGCTGAGGCTGAGGCTGAGGCTGAGGCAAGTTGCGGCTGAGGCTGAGGCTGAGGCTGAGGCAGGCTGAGGCTGAGGCTGATGCAGGCTGAGGCTGAGAGGCTGACGCTGAGGCTGAGGGAGGCTGAGGCTGAGGCTGAGGCCGAGGCAGGCTGAGGCTGAGGCTGAGGCTGAGGCTGAGGCTGAGGCCGAGGCAGGCTGAGGCTGAGACTGAAGCTGAGGCAGGCTGAGGCTGAGGCTGAGGCTGTGGCTGAGGCTGAGGCAAGCTGCGGTTGAGGCAGGCTGAGGCTGAGGCTGAGGCTGTGGCTGTGGGTAAGGCTGAGGCTGATGCAGGCTGAGGCTGAGGCTGAGGCCGAGGCAGGCTGAGGCTGAGGCCGAGGCAAGCCGAAGCAGGCTGAGGCTGAGGCTGAAACTGAGGCAGGTTGAGGCTGAGGCTGAGGGTGTGGCTGAGGCTGAGGCAAGCTGCGGCTGAGGCAGGCTGAGGCTGAGGCGGATGCAGGCTGAGGCTGAGGCAGGCTGAGGCTGAGGCGGAGGCAGGCTGAGGCTGAGGCTGAGGCCGAGGCAGGCTGAGGCTGAGGCCGAGGCCAGCCGAGGCAGGCTGAGGCTGCGACTGCGAGAACAGCATAATTCTACAACTGGATTCCCACTTAAATCTTAAGGGGAATGCTTCCAGATATGCTTATACACATCGCTGTTCGGTTGCTTTGCCGGAGTATTTTTTGCGAGGGAGTCGCACCCTCGGCGCATGCCAGGACTATCGCGGGTGCACCGCGCGGTGACATGAAGCCGCTGGATTTGGCAGAATTCGCAAGAATCCGATGGTTTATGTGTGACTTTAGCATGAGCGCGCGGACAGGGAAGTTGCAAATGCTTCATTCTGAAACGCTTGCGAACACATTGTGTGCTGGTGCGAATTCGACATGGACGCGCGCGTGATGACTTCGTGTTACTTTTTGGAAAAGGATTGCTGAACTTTGGTTTCTCCAAATGAAGAAGTGTGCGCGCATCGTATTTTTGCAGAGGATGGCGGGGGGGGGGCTCGATGCCGGTTGGGCTGGGATAGTGTGAACTCACAGGTCGGATGGACTTGTGTGTCGAATAAACATGAAATCACAATACCCCCAGAAAGGGGGGTCTATTTTTCTTTTAGAACAGAGAATCAACGCAAAGCAATACAAAGCAAAACAATTCAACGCAAAGCAATTCAAAATCAAATCAATGCAAAGCAATGCGAAGCACCGCGAAGCAATGCAAAGCAGCGCAAAGTAAAGACACACAGTGCAACGCAATGCAAATCAATGCGAAACAACGCAAAGCAAAGCGAAACAATGCAATGCAAAACAACGCAACGTAACGTACATCACTGCAGCGCTGTGCGAAGCAATGCGAAACCCTGCGCAGCAATGCGAACCAATGCGAATCAAACCAGGGCAATGCAACACACAGCAATGCAAACAGGATAGGTAACGTCCACGCCACCGGTTTCGGCGCACCCCTCACGCGTTTCGTATGTTTTAAACATAAAGAAAGCAACGCGATGCAAAACATGCAACGCAAAGCAATGCAAATTCATACCGTGCATTCTAAGGCAAAACAAGTCGATGCAACGCCATGCTAAGCAACGCAGGGCAATGCCAAACAATTCAAGGCAATGCCAATCACCTTTCGCAAGTGGCGGCGACAGGCGGCAACGGCGGCGCAAGTGGCGGTGATGGGCGGCGACGGGCGGCCACAGGATGGCCAGGGCGGCACTGGAGCCCAGTTGCGGCGGCGACGGACAGCGGCGACGGGCGGCCGCAAGCTGGCCAGGGCGGCGCGGGGGGCCCAGTTAGGGTGGCGACAGACGGGGGTGAGTGGCGGCGGTGGGCGGCCGCAAGCCGTCTGGACCGACAGCTCCACGTGCGTCTCCCCCACCTGGTACAGCGTTTCGTGGCTCCATGGGGAGCTCCACCGAAGGCCCCAGTGGCAACGTCCACATGCCTTTCCCCCGCCCAGCACAGAGCTGTTTGGCCCATGGGTGGCCCCACCGAAAGCCCCCGTGGAACCGTTCACATGCGTCTCCCCCGCCCAGCACGTGGCCCATAGGGAGCTCCACCGAAGGCCCCAGTGGCAAAGTTTGCATGCGTCTCCCCCGCCCAGTACAGCGTTGCGTGGCCCATAGGGAGCTCCACCGAAGACGATGCCCACAACTGCGGTATTCACAACTGCATCTGGTTGGGTCCTTCGCCAGGCTTGTGTTCCTATAATTGCCCCTCGACTGGGGCTCGAATCCTTGGTGTTCTACGTATGTGCCTACATGTTGCCCTTCGAAGGCCCCAGTGGCAGCGTCCACATGTGGTTCTCCGCCAAGCGTATCCTTTCGGCACACCCTTCACACGTTTCGTTGCCCCATAGGGAGCTCCACCGAAGGCCCCAGTGGCAGGGTCCACAGCGCCCCCCCGCCCAACGCATGATCATGTCGGCATACCGCTCACACGTTTGGTGGCCCCATAGGGAGCTCCACCGAAGGCCCCTGTGGCAGGGTCCACATGCGGCTTTCCGCCCACCGCATCTCCGTTCCAGCATTCCCTTCACACGTTTCGTGCCCCCAGAGGGAGCTCCATCGAAGGCCCTAGTGGCAGGGTCAACATGCGGCCCCCCGCCCACCGCATGTTCATATCGGCGCACCTCGCACGAGTTTCGTGTCCCAAAGAGAGCTTCACCGAAGGCCCTAGTGGCAGGGTCCACATTCTTCTCCCCGCACACCGCGTGTCCATCTCGGCACACCCCTTACACCATTCGTGGCCCCATGGGGAGCTCCAGTAAAGGCCCCAGTGGCAGGCGGCCCCCCCGCCCACTGAGTGTGACCCCCCCCCCCCTCGCACGCTTCGTGGCCCCATAGGGAGCTTCCCCTCCTTCGTCCCCCCTGCCTAGTGGCATTCACACTTGCATATGGTTCGGTTTTTCGCCAGTATAGTTTAGCAATCCGCGTTTGCGTGATTGGATTTCGACTTCTGGGGGACGCTTCCTGGCTCCGGGGTCGCATGAAAACGATTTTGGACGAGAAATTGCCCCCGGGGATGGGGTCGAGGGCTCTGTGGCCACCTGGGGCTCTCGGGCTCAAAAGTTTAGTCGTCGATGGTCTGTAGTGGGACGACGAAAGAGGTGTGACCCCGACCTCTTGGGCGCCGTAAGAGGGTCTTGGCGGGGCGTATCTGCTCCGTTTCGGCCCGTGGGACCCGTGCGGTTCGACCAGGTATCGAAGACGCCTGCAGTGAACCACCGCCGCCCCCCCTTGCCTTTTGCTTTTGGAGACGCCTGTGTGGCTAGACGTCGGGCCGAAGTCCAAGCTACAGGACTCTGTGTTCCCACAGTCGTTGTGGAGACCCTTGGGGGACACACTTGGGAAAACACACGCATACATGGGGTGACAGATAGACAGAGACAGAGACAAAGACGGAGAGAGAACATAGCGGAGGAGGAGGAGGAGGAGGAGGAGGAGGAGAGGAGGAGGAGGAGGAGGAGGAGGAGGAGGAGGAGGAGGAGAGGAGGAGGAGGGAGGAGGAGGAGGGAGGAGGAGGAGGAGGAGGAGGAGGAGGAGGAGGAGGAGGAGGAGGAGGAGGAGGAGGAGGAGGAGGAGGAGGAGGAGGAGGAGGGCGGTGGGATCCCGCAGATTTCCTTTCCAGAGTGACGGAGTCGTCGGCGACGTCGATGATGAAGCGGACGACGTGCGAGGGAAGGGCGCAGCGCAACCCAGAGGCCAATGCAGCCGGGAGGCAGCGCGGGGGCGGCGCTCGCCCCCGAGCAGCGGGCCTCGCCAGCGGTGCACCCGGCGCACGCCGCCGAACAGGCCGCGCCTGGTCTCCGTTGGAATTTGCCGCGATGGAGATTCGAGGTGGAGGGTTTCTCCGAAGGGCTTAGGCGACCCGTCCTCCTCCTCCTCCTCCTCCTCCTCCTCCTCCTCCTCCTCCTCCTCTCTCCTCTCTCCTCCTCTCCTCCTCCTCCTCCTCCTCCTCCTCCTCCTCCTCCTCCTCCTCCTCCTCCTCCTCCCCCTCCCCTCCTCCTCCTCCTCCTCCCTCCTCCTCCTCCTCCTCCTCCCCTCCTCCTCCTCCTCCCCTCCTCCTCCTCCTCCTCTCCTCCTCCTCCTCCTCCTCCCCTCCTCCTCCTCCTCCTCCTCCTCCTCCTCCTCCTCCTCCTCCTCCTCCTCCTCCTCCTCCTCCCCTCCTCCTCCTCCTCCTCCTCCTCCTCCTCCTCCTCCTCCTCCTCATCCTCCTCCTCCTCCTCCTCCTCCTCCCCCTCCTCGCCCTCCCCTCCTCGGGTCGCCTACGGCCCCGGGGGAAACCGTCCAGTTCGAGGATCGATTGGCATGATAGATTTATTAGGCCTCTCGGATGAGGTCCGAGTAGGTGGGGTCGGAGGATCGCGCCGCATCGCCGATGCATCGCGGATGTGGCTCGATCTGGAGCCCGATGGCCTCCACGCCGACGGCGCCGATGCATCGCCGCCGTCGCCGATGCATCGGCGATGCTTCGGCGATGCATCGGTGCATCGGCGGTGCGGCACGATCCTACAGCCCCACTCACTTGGACCCGATGCAGGAAGCCTGTAATGTTCCAGGTCGGTCGACCGGCCGATTGGCCAGTCGTTCGATCTACCGAAGTTTCGGGGGATCTCCAAACTTTCGGTCGATCTCTGATGCGAAATTGCACCGATCGGTTCGAAGGTCATTTGGTCGATCGGTTCGAGGTTCGAGGACCGTTCGGTGCGATGGGAAGTTGTACGGAAAGAGTGGGGACGACGACCAAAAGCAGTTCCTGCGCATTGCGATTAACAGGAGTCATTGTCGGTGACGCCGCGGGCATTGTACATTCGAGGCAGAAGGTCGCCTGCGTAGCAGCGGCCGCTGTCGGATTTGCACAAAACTTGAAGGGGAGCATGGAACTAATTCTTCCATAACTACTGTTTCCGGGCTTGCCAAATTGAGGTGCTTTGACGTGTTTCCTCGCCCGACAGGTTCCACGGGAGAAGACATCATCCCGAGTCCTGTAGCTGGCGTTCGCCGAACAGTCCTGGGCGTTTGCTACTCGGTCCTGCCCTGTTCGATTCCTTCTTTTGCTGCCTCTGCTAAAGCTCTTCGCTTGTCGGCGGGCTCATAATGAGGGTGGCTCCTCCCGATGGCCCCTAGTGTCCCGCCTCGCGCCGTCGGCAAATGACCACAGAACCTATCCTGGAATCCCGCATGCCGCGGCCACCGGGCCTGCAGAATCCCCGATGGTTACTCGTGTTCCGCCTCGCATCCCCAACCAATGACCACAGCAACGACCCCGCATGCCGCTGCCGCCGTGCCCCGAGAGTTCCCGTGGATTCCTGTTGTCCGGCCTCGCGCCCTCGACAAACACCAGCAGGCATCCACTCGCACGCCGCGGCCGCCGGGCCCCGGGTTCTCCATGATCCTGAGTGTCCCGCCTTGCGTCCTCGACAACTGCCGTGGAACCCAGGACAGACCCGAATGGCATAACATACCTACACGACCACCCTTCGGGGGATAAGGAGCTTGTGGTGGAGGGGAGAGGGGGGGGAACCAACATGTGACTCAATCGATCTCACTATCGATCTCACTCAACGGGACACCACCGGACACCGCGGGACACCACGGGACACTTGTCGAGCTCACTATCGATTTCATTCAATGGGACACCACGGTCACCACGGGACACCACGGGACACCACGGGACACCGCGGGACACCTCTCGATCTCATTATCGGTCTCGCTATCGATCTCACGACCGATCTCACTCAACGGGACACCATATGACACCACGGGACACCACGGGACACCACGGCACACTCCAGGACACCTCGGGACACCACATCGATCTCAGTATCGATCTCACTATCGATCACACTATCGATCTCACTCAACGGGACACCACGGGACACCACGGGACACCATGGGACACCTGTCGATCTCACTATCGATCACACTATCGATCTCACTTTTTGGGACACCTCGGGACACCACGCGACACCTCGGGGCACCACATCGATCTCAGTATCGATCTCACTATCGATCTCACTATCGGTCTTACTCAACGGGACACGGGACACCACGGGACACCACGGGACACCACGGGACACCTGTCGATCTCACATCGATCTCAGTATCGATCTCACTTTTTGGGACACCACGGGACACCTCGGGGCACCACATCGATCTCACTATCGATCTCACTATCGATCTCACTATCGATCTCACTATCGATCTCAGGGACACCACGGGACACCACGGGACACCACGGGACACGGCGAGACACCGCGAGCCACCGCCGGACGGACGGACGGACGGACGGGGGAGAATCATTCGTCTTGACTTCGCCCTAGCAACGGCGGACACCACGGCACACCACGGGACACCACGGGACACCGCGGGACACCGCGAGCCACCGCTGGACGTACGGACGGAGGAGAAACAGTTGTCTTGACTTCGCTCTAGCAGCGGCGGATACCACGGGACACCACGGGACACCACGTGACATTGCGGGACACCGCGGGCCACTGCCGGACGGAGGGACGGAGGAGAAACAGTCGTCTTGACTTCGCCCTAGCAACGGCGGGTTCATTCCTCTCGCGCGCACACGCAGCTTCGCCTCGCCCGCACGCACGACACGAACAAAACGAAACGATTTCCCGGTTGGGGGTCTCCGTTCCAGTGCGATCTCACCCCCAACCTCCGATAAAATGCGTGCATCGTCGCTAAAAGCGTACGTTCGTAGATGCAGAAGAGCTTACAAAACAGATGCACACAATTTGCATACCTAGCAGACATATGAAAACATGAGCAATACTGTTTGCCAGCGTGGATCCCAGCGGGTTCTTGCATTCTCGATGGTCAGTTTTTTGTGGTGCAGCCTCTGTGTGTGCTGCAACCTGTGTTTTGTTATATGTAGCGTCTGCGACGCAACGTGTCTGGGGCAGCGTCTGATGTGCGATCTGTGATGGGCAAGCTATGTAGCGGACGCTATGTCGTTCAAACCATGTTTTGCAACATATGGAGTGCAATCTATGTTGTGCAAGTCCACCTTGCAGAACTTGAAGTCAACTCCATTGCTCGCGCAATCATCCCACCATTCCACCCGTCCCTTGTTTGAAAAAAACCTTGCGGCCACGTCTGGGATTGCCGATTGGCACTTGCTAGCGCATCTGTGCGGCCGCGCTGGCGCGCGCAAGCTCGCACGCAGAGCGGCCAGCTGGTTTGGCACAACCGAACCGGTCCCGAGGGCGCTTGCCGATGGAAACTTCCCAGCGCGTCTCAAAGGCCGCGCTTGCTGGCGGGCTCTTCAGTGCGGGTCGGTGACTCGAGCGGGCGCGATACCATGATGATGTCGATAATGGTGGAAAGGCTGATTATAGTAGCGATGGTGGTGGCGAGTTGAGTGATGACGACGGCAAGGCAAATGACGGTGCCGATGCTGGTGACGACGATGGCGATGCTGATGTCCATGTGCCGGTGATGAAGGAGATGGACTAATTATGGCGGCATTGCTGGCGATTGACGATGACGCGAACGGTGGTGATGCGACGACGCTGATCAAAGTAACGGTGAGGAAGTCCGCGCGCGAAGAAGTTCAGCATATCTGGCAGTCTTTTGTTGGGCACCATTGTGTTCATATGTTTTTGAGCAGCTCTATTTTGAAAAGGTTCGACGTCATTAATTTTGGGCAGATTTCGACGCGCGCGTGGCGTCGCGCCCGTGTGGCCAGCATGGAATGATATTACGGATTCGTGCGCTGGGCGCATGTTGGATCAACGCAGATGATTTTAGCACGTGCGCGTGGGCACATTTGCAATATTTATGTTGGAAAACGCATCTGGGTTGTCGTATTGTGTTAGGTTGACATGCCTTCAGAACTAATTGCCCAACCGGGGTTCTTGACACATTTTTCCCCAAACATTATTTGGTGTTGGGTCCTCGTTTTGAGGAGGCAGTGCCCCGCGTCTCCCTCCCGCTGCCCGCTCTCTCCTCCCATCCCCGTCTCTGCCCTCCGCATGTCAACCAGTCCGGTACACCCCTCACACACTTCTTCGTGGCCCCATAGGGCGCTACACCGAAGGCCCCGGTGGTAGGGTCCACATGGTCCACACAAGGCTCCAATGGCAGGGTCCCCATGCGGCTCCCCGCCGACCGCATGTTCATTTCGGCGCACCACTCGCACGTTTGTGGCCCCATAAGGAGCTCTGGCGAAGGCCCCAGTGGCAGGGTCCACATGCGGCTCCACGCCAACCGCTTGTCCATTCGGGCACACCAATTACACGTCTCGTGGCCCCCATGGGGAACTCCACCGAAGACCGCAGTGGCAGGGTCCATATGCTGCCCCCCGCCCACCGCATGTTCATCTTGGCACACCCCTCGCACGTTTCGTGGCCCCAAAGTGCCCATCGAAGGCCCCAATGGCAGGGTCCACATGCGGCTCCACGCCCACCGCATGTCCTTTTCGGCGCACCCCTCACACGTTTCGTGGCTCCATGGGGAGCTCCACCGAAGGCCCCAGTGGCAGGGTCCACATGCGGCTCCCTGCCGACCGCATGTCCATGTCGGCACACCCCTCACACGTTTCGTGGCCCCATAGAGAGTTCCACCGAAGGCCCCGGTGGCAGGGTCCACATGCGAATCCCTGCCCACCGCATGTCCATCTCGGCACACCCATCACACGTTTCGTGGCCCCACAGGGGGCTCCACGGAAGGCCCCAATGAGAGGGTCCACATGCGGCTCCCCGCCCACCACATGTCCATTTCGGCACACCCCTCAGACGTTTCGTGGCCCCACAGGGAGCTCCACAGAAGGCCCCGGT